TCATTTCAACATTAAGGATACAAATAGGGAATGTATGCCAAGTAATTAATCATGGTGGAATGCCATTTAACCTAACTGACAGGAAAACCTCAAAGATGAATGATATTTATAGTGGAAATCATGAAAGATTAGTGCACTTTTACCAGACTTCCTAAAAATGAGAGATCCAAAGGGTGACAAACAGAAGATCTGAAGATCGGGAGATCTGCTTAAATCTTAACAGCAACTGCAGTACTGCACATAGTTAACAGTTCAAATTACAACAGGCTGAGAAGCTGAATAAAGCAGGCAACGTGAAAGCTGAGTCGGTAACCAATTCAATGTTGTATGAGAAACTTCCATACTCGATAAATTTTGGAAAACTCAACAGAATATGTGTCCTATCTAATACCACTGGCGTCAAAAGAGATAAATGCTTGATTTGACCAAAGAAATTCAGTTGGCTGATACAGAAGCAGCCAAATTCTGCTTACTATTTTCAGGGGCTGCACAGATGTCAGTGAGAAAAGTTACTAACTTCTCACCCATATTCACACACAGGGGATAAGCCATACTTTTCCAAGAAAACCTTGCAGATTTTCTGTACAATACTCCAAAATATTGATGCTGTGTAAATAAGTCTGAAAAAGAAAGAAAGAAAGAAAAAGGTATTAAAATAAGAAAACACTTTAAAACCAGATTTCTATTCTTAAGTGTACAGAACTAACAAAAAATACCACTATCACTGAAGAAATCAGAGGAAGATAGAGCTGGGCATATTAGGAGGAAGACTATTGATTATGTATGTTATATTATCTTACCAGCATCCCTCAGTTGTTCCTCAAAATTTCAACCCTTACAGGTTTCAGCCTGGACAGAATCTCCGTATCTATACAGGAAAGAAAAACCCATACTCAAAAGTCCAGGAGTAGGGTAAAAGCACTGAGCAAAAAAACCCAAACCATTCTCAATGCTTTCTTTCCTATCAGTTCTAACCCTCACTCGGATACAATCCTTCCATTCTCTTGTGTTTTTTTAGAGAAACAATTTAGGTTGAAATATTTTGGGGAAAGGACCAGTGACCTGAAAAAAGAGTTCAGGAAAGTACAGATGGTTGTTTCCTTTTCACACTCAAAACAGGCCTTCTGCTTAAAACAAAGGGACAGTAACATACCTGTACGTCGGGATTATGCATTTCTAAAATGTAGTCCTAGCAACGTGCATCTCCAGTGTCCCTTCAGCAGAGTTTGGCCACCCAAGTCCTCAAAGGCATTTCAGGATGACCCCTCAAGCTCAGCTAAATGGCTGCAACTAGGCCAGGGAAGAACACTTCACTGAAAGTCCGTCCCACGATACCCATCTCCATGCACCATCTGTGAAACGGGACTGGGGCTGATGGTGCCCGACATTTGCCAGTAATGATGGCAATGATTAAAGCACACGATGGTAAGCACACTTTGGCCAAGGAGGGGGAGAGCTCATTTCCAATTCCTCCTCAGGCGAAGAGGTGAGGACACACACACATACCAGAGGACAGAAGCCTGACCTACCCGCTCCGACTCGAGCTGCTACAGACCACAGTTCCTCCATTCCTCTGTGGAAGCAGGACCACAGTGTCGTTAGGCATGTACTTGCTGTGCCCTGCATTCAGCCTGACTTTGAATGTTATTACCCATTTACAGTACAGCACAAGGGGTCAAAATCAAACCCTTCACAGAGGTAAGAAATACTGGTACTCCGTTCTGTCACAGGAACAAGGTTAGTTACAAATTTGGCTAATCCCATCTCTCTATTCATATGCACCGTTTCACTCTGTTCAGTTTTACCCTTGCACTCAACATTCCCATCTATATTGAACTGCATATGATAATTTAAACCTTAAATGTTATTTACAAGATCTGCCTCATCTTATAAGGCATTGTGAGAACAATTAAAAAAGAGAAGCAAGCGTGAAGGGCAATGTGGCACACACATATCTACTGCAAGAGCTGATTGAAACATATTCATTTAGGCAAGCTTCTTATTCTTGCAGTGATCAGTCAAATTCATTCACGCTCTAAAACACTAGTCATTAACCACATCGACTACATACTAAAACAAGTGAAGACTGTTATATAATGAAAATCACCAAGTGGCACTTTAGGAGCTTTATGTTTTACAGCAATGAAATTCCACAAGTTTCAAAAGAGCTTTTTACGACTATTAGAAATTAGCCACTAAATTACTACCTGATAAAATTTTACTTACACAAAAATATACACTGAAAAAGCAGAGTGTATTTTTTCCTGGATAAATGAATTCTTAGTGTCCATGCACTGAGAGAAATCTTCCTCAAACTCCAGAATTACAAACTATGCTTCCAAGTTTACAGCATTATATCCCACTGAATGGCCAAAAAATTCTTCAGCAAAGCTCTGAAAGTAAGACATTTTTCAGGATTTTATAACGAAGCCAAGTAACAGAGTATTCCAAGACCCAGTTTACTGTTAAATTAAAGCTGGAACTAAAAAAAAAAAATAAAAATATTAAGCTCCAAGTTTCCAGGCATCAATTTTCAATAGAAAAAAACCACATCTGATACTGCAAACAACACAAGACAAAATTATAAGGCAGGGGCTATAAGCAAGATGGAAAATATTGCTACATGTCAGGATCTTCAACATCAAAATTGCTGGTCATTTCATCTTTTTTTTTTTTCTTAGTAAGATATTCATAAAATCTATGGAAATAGCCCAGGCAACACAGAAGACAAGTCAAGGTTTCTGTTTCCAAGTACAAAAGATCAGACTATTTTAAGTGTAACTCAAGTTAAGGGAGAAGATATAAAGAGCATCACAAAGAGCCAGAGAGCCATAAAACTGTGGGTCCTGAGTCCTTTGCTAGCTCGTTTCCTTGGCTTTTTTCTTTCTTTCATATTTTCCTTCAAAAGAAAACTGCAGTTAACAATTTGTTTCAGTCAGCAGAATAGCCAAAGATAAAAAAGTCAGATCTGGATCCTGATTCAACTTTTGGATTCAAACATTTGTTTGAAGACTACTTCAAACTTGCAGCAACCTATAACATTAATTGATCAACCTTATTTTGAAAACTTTCATTCAAATTCAGTGTTTTATTTTTAGTGTGCTTACTTTCTCAGAAAATAATCGTATTTGTATTAAACTGGGAATAATTTATGTATGTGATCAACACATATTTATTAACAAAGCATACATCATACGGGCCAGGAACCAGTGTTGACTTCAGCATGTTAGGCTAAAAAATAAAAGATGTCTCATCATCAAGGATTTCTCCTAGGACCACCTTCTCCCTTTTTACCAAATATCAGTCAGCAATTTCCCTTCTCCCAGCCCTTCTGATAGGTGTGGAAATTGCTGCCACAACTAAGCAAAGTTTCATCCTACTCCATTTCTGGACTGTAGCACAACAATTATTAAACTGCGACTTATCCCCACAGTTTCCAATGGGATTGAAGTTACACCTCCAGTGTGGTAAACAAACACACTGAATTTTAAAAGATTTAGATAATTTGGATCAGTGTGACTTTCAAATATACACTGAAATAAAGCTAATCAAACCTCTACCAGGCTTGCCAGGTTAGAAAAGGTAGCAAAATTAACCCGTGCAAGGTGCATCAAGCAAGCTGTAAACAAGCATTAAGAGAATGAGCCGGGGGAGGAGAGGAAAACAGAGCGCTTGTAAAGGCTCCCAGAACACTTCCCCTCTATCTCATTCTATGGCCATTTCTAACCACTTTACCCTTAGCGGCTGCGTGCCAAAAGACAAACTCTCCAGCCCAAAAGCTGCCTCTTGGGTTCAAATACTTTTCCTGTTTGCAAGTTTGGGTGTGTTTACAAGTTGCAGGGGATCCTTTTCATAGTTTAGTAATATGAAATGGAATTATTTGTGGAAGATGAAGGTTTTAACTGCAAGAAAGAATTGTGACTCTTAAAAAAAAACCAAAAAAAAAGAACAATAAGGTAATTCTGTTTAAACACCACAGCTTTATGCAGCTCTCTGAACTGTGGTCTCTTAATAAATGAAATGGCTTTCCATGTACTCCTTCATACAGAACTTTCACCCCTTCATCTTTCTTTTTTCCTGCTGAAGTTTTTTGGTATCATTGGAGTGAATAGTGTACAGAAAGTAGTCAAAATACTGACCAGTATCTTAATAGCTATGGAAAGTGATATACATACCAACACATAAAGCAGATCTCACCTTTCATCTTTAAATCTTTTAGCTGACATGCTCTGAAAGGCAGTCACACTTTAAAACCATATAAAATTTAATACAAAGTCCAGGTTAAAAGGATGAGGAAGACTGCATGAATTTAGCAAAAATAATGTTGAAACTGAGACACATTGGTCTCTTCTGTAACTCCTTTCTTGTTCTTATAATACTCAACTGCATCACTGCTGATAACATGCTTTCAACTTGAAGAAAAAAAAAATACAGAGGCATATTAAGGAAGCAGAACAGACTCAGGTTGAGGACTAGATAAGAAGATGGTACTTTTGACATTAGAAGTAAAAATTATGGAGTTTTATGCAAGGAATCCATTTACAAAACTTTTGATGGACTAAGCAAAGATGCAAAAAACATCTGCTATTTCACCATGGGTTGTGTCCCACCCGCAGTAAGTAATCTCCATGGCAGTCAATACAGAAGTGACCTACAGTTTTTATCCTGCCAACTCTCCAAATAAGATGTATCAGGCTTTAACAGTATTTGGACATGAAACTTCCATTACTGGAATGCCCAGGAAAGGTGGAGCTGGCACTCCTCTGAGACAGTGCAAACTGATGTCTCATTTTGCCCTTGCTGGTCACCATGCTGCAAAAGGTGTTCCTCACACAAAACTCAACATTAACCACATTCTGATCATTTTTGGTTAAGAGCATTTTGTTTCTAAATCATTACATAAGACAGTTCATTTCCTGGCTATATTCCAGTTTAAGTATTTGTATTTGGCCTTCCTAACTTTCTCCTAGGAGTTTTGATTCATTCTGAGAGTACCTTTTTTTTTTTTTTTTTGGCCAGCCTCCGTTTCTCCCTTGCATTCATCTGTGCATCAGACAGCATTTCACTAGAGGAGTTCCTACTTTTCAGTGGCAGGTGACTCAACATCCAAGGCATGCCCTGAGTTTGCAAAGCATATTGTCATCGTGAAAAAAGAGGTTAGAGATACAGAAAAAAGCATTTTGTAGTCTTCACGTTCATCAGAATATTCTTTAAAAACTGAAAGGATATTACAAAGGTGGGAACATACCCAGCTTGTTTTATAGTTACGCCCATATCCATGAACAATTGTGGGTGCTTATTGCTGGTTTGACTACATCATTCTCGTAGTCACTTCATACACTTTTCAATATTCTTCATACACTTTTCAATATTCTAGAGACTCTATAGCTTTGCTGCTCACTCTTCACAATCATTTAAATATGGAATATGATTTGAGGTTTGCAGTTGAAAGATCAAAAAAGAAATATTACCTATTTCATATTTTACAAATCATTTGCACAAAAGAGATCAGCAGTTAAACACTGAAAAAAGTAGAGCTATTGCAAAACAAATAGCTCTTGCAAGATATCTTGGGCCTTTTGTGTGCAAATATAATAAATATGAAACTTGAATGACTAAGAACCTAAATACATGTGCAAGTTTTACTAATAGATGTGGGTATATTTAAGCAACCAAGCACTGCCATGATACCTTCCCTGTGCTTGCCTTCTTACTCAAGTATGTCTCCTTTAGTCAAGCCATACACCATAAAAACAAAAGAAAGACCCTGTTCCTATTACACCAGAAGTAGCATCCACACAAGATTTTATGCTGCCATACATCACATGAAATGGTGTTTTGACCAGGAATCTTAGCCATACTAAAGGGAGAGTATATGCTTCTGCCAAAATTTTGCTCTTTGCAAGTCTATATTTTGCAAATACAAGTTTTCTCATAAAGCTCTTGAAATTGTGATGACTTCAGATTAATGTAATTTCTTCATATTCAAGTAATGAATTACAGATTTGTTAGTTCAACCTGACTAGCACTCATTAAACTGAGAATCCATCCAACTGATACTTCCCCTCTGATTCTAAAATAATCCTCAAGAATTTTTCAAATTTATGTGAACGTCTTCAGTAGGGATTAAACAACTTTCAGTCTACAGATCAATTAGCAATGCTTTTTGGGGATGAATTCCTACTCACAGCATAACTGGGAGATACAGTATTTCTGGTGCTTAAACAGTTCAGCAAAGTATTGCAGAATCCACAAAACACAACATTACAGCGGAAAAAGTAAAATTAGTTGCCAGAAAGGACCTGCTCCTCACCAGTTTCACTTACACCATAACTCAGAAGCACATACAAATCAGAGCAGTGAAAGAACCCACCTTTGTGTTTCATACAGTTTCCTGGAAGCTTCCTCAGTCACTTGCCTACTTGCTCCTCCCTGTTCCACAGCATCTTCAGTGCTTTTTTAAAAAAAAAAAAAAAAAAAAAAAAAAATCTAGTCTTACATGGGAAGAACATCAGAAGTAAGCTGTTAAATTGATTTTATGAAGCATAAAACATGAGGAACATACAGCAATTTAAGCATTCAATTGACTAGAGGTGAAGAGAGAACGTCTACTGACTATTTCTTCACCATCTCAAGAAAGCAAACAGCTTCTACATCCTGCCTTTGGGAGAAGAACAGGAGATTTTAGCATGTCTTTCACTTAGTTTTCAGCATACCTGTCATATATCAAACACTGCTGTAAGGAATGCACAAACTTTTACCCTTAGGTATTGAATAAAGACTAGACAGGAAACTTTCTCAACCACATTTTAAACAATATATATAAACTACTCCATTACTTCCTTTTGGAGACTTACCAAACATCTACTAAAAGTTTCCTATTTTTCTATTAAATTACCCCTATTTTTTCTTTTTTAACAGAAAGCCACTTCCACTCAGCCAGTATAACTGAGTTTATGATCCTTTTACTCAGAGGTATTTTCCCTCTGCCCCTCTGTATTAGAGCTTATATGAAAACATGCATACAAGCAAGCAGTAGTTCTTTCTCTATTACAGCATCTCACAAGTTGCAACTGGAAAAAAGTACCAATAACAACTTCTAAACAACTCACAATGCTTCCTTTTTACCTTTCCTAAACTAAGAAAATAAGAGCTGCTGCATTTTAAAAATTAAAGAAACATCAGTAGAGTATCAGCCCATGCAGCTCAATAGAAGGACCTTTAGTGCAAAATTTTTTCAGTTATCCATCCAAAGTTCTGCTGTTTCTCAGATGAAGAAATATAGCACAGTATTGTTATACATGCTTAAAGAGAAAAGTAAAAAAGTTTAAAAAAATATATTTTATTCCTCATTCTTATCAGACAGAAGGTAGCACCGCTACCAACCGCAGAATATAAAGCCAAACCAGTCGCAACCCCTGCTGGTAGTGAAGTACTTTCCATGTGACAAATAATTGATTTTGAACCAAAGATACACACAGGTCATACACATTAAAAATGAAAAAGCCATTTCTTATCGGTATAAAATTTCCCTCAGTTCTGTAGCAGCTGGAATGCAACCTAAGTTTATTAACAAAAGAATAGCCCCTTGAGACTTGAACTCGCTGAATTGATTGCTAAGTACCGTCAAAAATATTATGAGATACAATCCAGACACTAAATCTCCACTGATAAGAGAACTTACTTAATTATTTTCTTGAATGGGGCATTTCTCGACATGGTGGGCAAGGGAATTCACTGCTGTCAAGAAGGTAACATAATTAATTGTGCAGCAAGGAACATGCCCTTTCCGTTATGTGTTCATCATTGTGCACTTGAGATGCTGTATTACAACCTACTTGTATTTCTCTTTTGATTTCTCAACTGTTCTTCAGGTTCCTCTCCTCTCTTCCCTTTCTTTAGAAGGTAAAAACCATGGAGTTGACCACCTTCATATAAAATTGCTTCTACACTAGCCTTAGCTGATCAAAAAAAAACCTAGAGCCTTTTAGGCCAGAGAGTTTATTTGTTGTATCAAATTTCCAGATAATTTCACTGTCATCTGTAGCATTAGCACAAGCAGGTTGGTCGGCAGTGAAGATCAGAGACAGCCATATAAAGTTGCACTAATTTGATAACCATAGCCAAGGCACAGGCCTTACATCATGACATCTTTGGTCTTGGTGTACTTATTCCAAGGTCAGCCTTCAGCCTCAACAGTTCCATCCATCAAAACTAACAGGTTGCAGATTGAATCAACTGATAAGAGGCCAGAGTGCAAGATGCAGAGTAATAGCTCTCCCACATCAAGGTTATAGCTTTTGACTTTCACTGCACAACAGGCTAAATCTAATATTCACATGTGAGCTGTAAGACCCATTCAACAGACTTCATCGTAAGAAACATAAAAGAGTATACTGAATAACTAACAGGTCCTCTGATTTCCTGATGTATGGTTACTGTGGTAGCAGACACATTTCTCAGTAAGTTTGTATCACCCATAAATTACTCAGATAATAGAAAAGTCTGAGTGAAAAAACTCTTTAACAAAATTCTGAGTCTTCCAGACTTGTGTGGATTTTTAGAACAGGGAAATTAAATGTTATCTTTTATATTGTATTTAACTGTATTTTTACGATGGGTAGATAGGGATCACAGAATAAAACGGTATATGAAAACAGGCAGAATGATGCAAGAAAAGAAACTGCCCTTCCTTTGCAAGCAAGAGTACTGTAGCTGTGATGGAGTCAAAAGGCGAGCCCAAGCTTTGCATAAACTTTGGAAGCAGAAGTTGATTGCTGGCAACGGAAAATGAGACTTCTGTTTCAATTCTGATGTCCAGCAGCTACTTATGACAATAAAAACCTCAGCCAAATTCATCCCCGGTGTAACTTGTCTGACTACAGCACACAGGAACAAATTTAGCACCTGATTTTCAGCTTCTTGCTAATTACAGTGCTTGGGTCAGCAGTGGGTTGTATATATACAGACAGAATAAATTACATAAACTCAGCTTCTCTCCTGAACACAGCCTGTCAGTATTTGTGATCTGTACAATGCAACAGTGTTAACTTTACCTGTTTCTCCAAACACTTCAAATCAGTGTCAGAGTATAGCGTGACCAGCAAGCAGAGTTCTCACTATTTTGCTAATGCATTACATTCGGTGCCTGAGCACAAAACCATGAACAGGAAAGCCAATGCAAAGCATCCCTTAGACGACCAGTTTAATGTTAAAGGCACGCACATAGACTTACTGAGCAGTAGTTTGAATAATGACAAGTTAAAGTTTGTTTTCCATTGACAACACTGAAGGAAACCAGCAAAGGCCCTAGGAGCCATGCCTTCAGTTCTCCAGGCAGCTCTGCGCTGGGCAGCAGCCAGCACAGAGCTACTGCTGGCAACAGGTTAACGGTGCCTCATCACAAACCCTGCGCCAAAGCAGGTGAGAGATACTCAGAATTAGTGAGTATCATAAACAAAAAGAAGCCCACAGTATATAATAGCTGGGAGGCAGAAAGCAAGAATAGCTTACTCAAAAAGAATTTCACTTATCTTGTAACCTTCTATTCTTGTTATTAGTGATGGTATTTATGATCTAATACAGGGATTTTGTTCCATCCAATGAGTTGTGCTCTTTCTGATAAATGAATTGTATAAATTGTCATTTGTCATACTGCTTTCAGGTAGAAAAGTTACAATAATGCATAAATTCAAAATTATGATTCATTGTATGAGCGAACAACTGGACAGTATATCTTGTCTGGAAGCCTTCTCAGAACATGTATTTTAATCAGTAGCCAAGGAAAACTTAAAAAAAATGCAAACTCATGATAAGGAGTATTGTGTTTAAGCACTAGGCATTTTCAAATTTTCCCAAGAGAGAAAATTCAATCTCAAAGTACTCTGAACAATGCAGGCATGAATTCATCACCTGCTGGCTGTCTTATTGTGTCACAGCATTTTCTGATTCCTTCTCTACATCAGTTGTAATAAACAGCTATTATCATAATCAAAGCCATGTTTGTAAAGCTTTAGCATTGCAAATGATCAGCTTCTAAGATAAAAGATGTCTTTATACGGGAGAGGCAGCATGGTTAAGTAAACTGCACAGTGGGCTGAGAAGGTTATTTGTTACTGCTCCACACCGTTTTGAAGACTTAGTGTTACACCCAATAAAATGTTCTAATAAGTAGGAAACACTGCAGAAAATCTGTCTGAGCAAATCAACAGCTCTGCTTTTAAGCATTTGTTATGGCTCCATTTCTCCAATAAGAATCACAGTTTTCACAGCAATTTCTAATCTCTTTTGTGTTCTGTAGCCTTTCTCCTGTCCCCCAAGAATCCCTCTGCCACTCCCTGCAGTATAATGTAAATGCCCTGATGTTTTGTGCCTGAGACAGACAAGCACAACTCATCAGTGGGACAGAATAGCCAGCTAGAAGTGAACCCAGGCAAGGGAAGGAGTATTCCTAAGATCTTTCCTTCATATCTCATTCACGTTGACCTCTGGGTCTTGCGCTTCTTTTGGGACGGAGAGGTTTTTAAAATAACTGGGCAAAAAGCAGTGGGCTATCTCGAGACACAGCATGCAGTTTCACTAAATGCCCACTTAAATAACATATAGTAGCAATAATCTCTGGCTAGAGACCACATAAAATTGAAAACTCTATGCAAAGTTAACTTTGCATAAATAGTTCTTGCTCCTGAAGCAAGGTTTAGGATGCTGCCACATCTGCAAGGAGCAATTAAAAGGCATCTGAAAGAAAGTTGTATCTTCCTTCTCATTGCCTATTACCAACCTCTCTAATTCCACTGACTGAATCAATCTGCCAATTTATAAATGCCCCTTCATCTTTACAATTAATAAAGTTGGTAAGTCTACTTAACACTCCTTAAGCCCTTGTAAATGTCTCTTCTTGGTGCCTATCCATCCTTAAAAACTGCTGCCTGATGGGGTTAATTTGGAAAGCCTTGTGTTTCTTTTATTTTACATGCTTCAAAGAACAGTGGAGCTGTTTATAGACATTAAGACTGAGCATCAATAAGTAATCAGCAAACACCTTAGGAACTGCAGCTCTTTCACAGTTAAGCATCTTTAAAAACATTACCTGAAATTACTGTTAGGCCCTGCTTCAGGCACATTTTAGGAGAGATTGCTCATACAGAAAACTCCTGCGTGAGTTTCTCACAGGAGTCTCTCCAGCTCGAGGTGCAGCTGCAGCCTCTCCTGCCCTAGGCTGTAGTCTCATAAACATATTCTGGCAAACATCTGGAGAGATGCACTAAAGGCAGGCTTAACTACAAGTATTAATTTCAAGTAGGTCATGTCCAAATGAGCTGAGCTGCTGTCACCAATGTGAGCTCAGCATTTTTGAGGATGAAGTTTAGACTGTAAAAAAGTAAAAAAGATCCTTGTTTTAAAAGGAAGACAAATAATTAGCAGTATATTGCACTAAAGTCCACATCCAAAATT